TTTAGTCCTTTAATTTTTTTGTTGTCGTTGATGAACCTTTATTTTATTCATTTATTTATATGTGATGCTGAGAATTGAACCAAGTGCCTCACGCATAAGAGGCAAGAGATCTATCACTGAGCCACAACCCCAGCCCCCTTATGGACATTATTCCAGGCCTGTATTTCTCTTACAGATAACAAGTAGTTTGCTGAGGAATGTGCCATATCCTGTTCACTTAAACCAGGCAGAGCTGCAGATAAATTGCTTCTTGGAAAAGAAAGCATGGGGATGTCAGCACAGTAGGCTCATTTTATAGAATTATTCACTTAACTTCATGTTACCACCACTCAGATCTGTCTGTCCCATATCAATTAGACTGGGGTTATGAGTTTTGTGGAGACCACAAAGGTAAAAGTATTACTTTCATCACATCATCACATCATGTCACATTATAGAGGTAAAGTGCCAGTATCTGTGGTGTATATATGGTATATTTGGAAACACAGACAATATACTTTGTGTTGCAATCTTTTTTATTTTGGAACAAAAATTTAAGGGTGTAGTTTTTTAAAATCTCTTTTAATTAGTAATCTTGTATATTTAAATATATATTTATAACATAAGCCGCACCTTTTTTTTTTTTTTTTTTGGTGGTGGTACTGGGGATCAAACCTAGGGGTACTTTACCACTGAGCTACATTTCCCAACCCTTTTTATTTTTTCTATTTTGATACAGGGTCTTGCTAAATTGCTGAAGCTGATCTTGAACTTTAATCCTCCTGCCTCATCCTATTGAGTTGCTAGAATTACAGACATGCACCATCTGGCCCAGCACAATTTCTTTTTCATAATATTTTCAAAATTGTAATTGACACATAATCAATTTCTTTCTTCCTTCCTTCTTCTTTCCTTCCTTCCTTCCTTTCTTTCCTTCTTTCCTTCTTCCTTCCTTCCTTCCTTTCTTCCTTTCTTTCTTTCTATCTGTGGCACTTGGAATTGACCACCCAGGGTCTCATGTGTGCTAGGCAAAGGCTCTACCATTGAGCTACATCCCCAGCCCTTTATATTTTATTTTGAAACAGGGACTTGCTAAATTGCTCAGGCTGGTCTTGAATTTTCAATCCTCCTGCCCCAGCCTCCTTAGTCTCAGGGATTATAGACAAGTTGCCACCATATCCAGAGAAGAATAAGAAGGAAAAGGAGAAGAAATATACTAGGCATATAGAAAGTTATAAAGAATAGCCGAGGGTCTAGGGTTATGGCTCATCAGTAGAGCACTCTCCTAGCATATGCGAGGCCCTGGGTTTGATCCTTAGCACCACATAAAAATAAATAAAATAGGGGCTGGGGATGTGGCTCAAGCGGCAGCGTGCTCGCCTAGCATGCGTGCGGCCCGGGTTCGATCCTCAGCACCACATACAAACTAAGATGTTGTGTGCGCCAAATACTAAAAAATAAATATTAAAATTCTCTCTAAAAAAAATAATAAATAAATAAATAAATAAAATAAAGGTATCGTGTCTAACTACAACTAAAAAATAAATATTAAAACAAAAAAGAATAGCAAGATTGTAGTGCCCACCTATAATCCTAGTGATGTGGGAGGCTGTGGCAGAAGGGTCCCAAATTTGAGGCCAGCTACAGCCATTTTGCAAGAACAACAACCACAAAAAATTATAAAGAATACTAAAATAAAAAAAAAAGAAAAAATTTTATCACACAGATTTATCAAATCTTAGTTTTTAAATTTCTTTTAATTTTTTTATAGTTATAGATGGACAGAATGCCTTTATTTTCTTTGTTTATGTGGTGCTAAGGATCAAGCCCAGTGCCTTACATATGCCAGACTAGCGTTCTGCCACTGAGTTACAGCCCCAGCCCAGATCTTAGTATTTTATCACATTTGCTTTAAATTCTCTTTTAAAGAAATTAGCGAAGCTAGGTGCTTTGGCCTTTGCCTGTAGCCCCAGCAACTCCACAGGCCGAGGCAAGAGGGTGGCAAGTTCCAGGCCAGCCTAAGCAATTTAGAAAGCCCCTCATAAACTTATCGAGACCCTGCTCAAACAAAAAATAGAAAGTGTTGGTGATGTAGCTCAGTGGTAAAGTGCCCCTGGGTTCAATCCCCAGAACTACAGAAAAATGGATAATAAATAAGATTAAAGAAATTAGTATTTCAGATCAAGTTAAACCCTTTAAGTACTCCTCCCTAGTCTCTTTCCTATCATTTTTCACCTTCTGTCTGAGAAATAACCATTATCCCAAAATGGTATTTATTTTGTTTATGTACTTAAACAATTTTATTGCTTAGTATACACATAAGTCTATTGAAACATAGCCCCCCTTTGAAATTAAAAACTCCAAATTGTTTTAACTTCTGAACTTCCTCATACTGAGAATGGATGCTGAGGGAGGCTGGCCTTAAGGGGCACCTGGGAACCTGAGAGAGTGACACATTTCCTAGCTAAATCTATATTATGTATGTTTCCTGCCTTTTGTCTCACTGTACCCTTGAGTCTGATAAGACAGAGAATTGGAAAAGGAAAGTCTCTTTTATATTCCTTGAAGCCAGCTTTTTTTTGTTTTTTTTTTTCCCCTTGCCAAAACAGCCTCCTGAGTTTTTAGTGGAGCAGAACAAGGAGTCAAATCTCTTGCTCCCTCTTTCACATTGGGCATAAACCTGTTGACAGAATTGCTGAGTCACAGGGCCTGTGTAAACTCAGCTTCAGTAGATGTTGTATTGTAGGGACAGACGAGGCAAGGCACCGAAGATAGCAGGAAACAGTTTTATTTGGCTGCAGCCAGGCTCAGAGGGCACAGCTTTTGTTGTAATCAATTAATCTCCTGAACCCTGAGTTCAGGTAGTTTCAGAGTTTTATACCCAGCATGTAAGGGGAGGGGCTCAGAAGTTCACATAAAAGCAGCTTTTTTTTTTTTCCCCACTGTTTTGGGCAAGTTAACCCTTCAAGGACAACATCTAAGAAAGGGAGAGCTTCTTCTCCCCTTTCTTTCCTCCCCCTGCTAGTTGTTACCATGGAGCTCAGTTAGTAACTTATCTTTAAAATGTAGACATCTTTGTGAAGTCCCAGCTCAAGGCCAGAGGCCATGTTTGCACATTTCTACAAACTACTACACTGGATATTTTTGTGAAAAACTAGTAAGTGGGTGTCCAGAACCTGGAGTTCTGGTATCTTCCCGGCCAATGGCCAAGTAAAACTGGGCAACATGAACATAGGAAGTTTATCTACATTGAACTCTTTTGCAGAGACTCTTTTGCTGACAGTCCTAAAATCAGGCATGATGAAGATTTCTAGAGAAGCTCAGTTAAAAGACTTTTCTGTGGAGAAAGAGGGTGCCACTTCAGTTGCCCACATATTTTCTGAAGAGATTATAATAGTTCCAACTCCTATAGCAATATATAAGAGGTCTAGATACTGCACATCCTTGCAAACAATTTTTTAACTTTTGGGGGGAGGTGGGGTTCAAAGGGGATTGAACCCAGGGCCTTGCACTGTAGTGGCACTCCCTCCTCCACAGAAAAATCTTAATTAAGCTTCTCTAGGGACCCTCACCAAATCTATTCTTAGACTATCAGCAAGAATTTCTGCAAAAAAAGTTTTCAAGTGGGAAGTGTGTTCAAGTAGACTGTGATAAGGCAGTCTGGTGGAGCCAGGAGCTTTCACAGAGGTATTTGCATTTCAAAGGATAGAAGTTAGATCCCTAGGAGTCCACAAGATAGGAGTAAATGGTACAAATCAGGTTCCTTGGAACCAGCTTGGTGGCAGTGTGTGTGTGTGTGTG